CCAGGGCACCCTTGGGGAAAACTAGGAGTAATGGTCACAATCTGGACACCCTCGTTGTGAAGTAATTTTTTCCTAATGTTGATCCTGAAATGATCCTGAAACTATCTTCCAGGAGTTTGTGACCATTACTCCTAGTTTTCCCCAAGGGTGCCCTCTCAGCCTTCTCTTTTTCAGGCTGAAGAGTCCCAGGTCCCTCAGCCTTTCCTTGTATGGCTTGCCGTGCAAGTCTCTGATCATATGGTTAGCCCTTCTCTGGACTTTCTCAAGATTTACACATCCTTGTTAAGGTGCGGAGCCCAGAACTGGATGCAGTACTCCAGCTGTGGTCTCACCAGTGCCGAGTAGAGCTGAATAGAGCAGGAGAAGCACTTCTTTGCAATGGTTTGGCTAGAGATGCATCAATTGATGCATGCCACCATATTGTTGGCCCTGCTAACTACAGCATTGCACTGCTCATGTTCATACTGTGGTCAATTATTATCCCAGGTCTTGGTGACAAGTGATGGGGGATCTTCAGTCTTGCTGCCTGATGAGAGGCAGCAGTTGCACAAGCACCCATACCATGAGTCTTTCCTATCAGCAGCTAGGGGGTGCAGGGCCCCAGAGCCCCCCTGCACCAATCTCCTTGACAGCTGGCAGGCTTTGTGGCCACAGCAGGGGCCACCATCCCTGCAGCTTTCGCTCTGCTGCACCTTAACACACATAGGGTCACCCATGTCATGAGTTTTCCTTGTCCGCAGCTTGAGGTACAGTTTCCCCCAAACCCCTACAACAATCTTCTTGAAACATGGCAGGCTTTGTGGCCTCAGCAGGGGCTAGCATGCCTCCAGTTTTGACCTTGCTTTGCTTAACACATACACGTGATACAAGTTTTGCTTTCAAGAACTTGGGGTGCAGTTTCTCTGAACCCCCTACACCTATCTCCTTGAAACTTGGCAGCCTTTGTTGCTTCAGCAGGGGCTACCATCCTTGCAGATTTGACCCCACTGTGGCTTAACACATACACATGACATGAGTTTTGCTCTCAAGATTTTTGGGGTGCAGTTTCTCCAAACCACCTGCACCGATCTTCTTGCAATGTAGCATGCTTCATGCACTCAGAAGGACCTACCATTCCTACAAGTTTCATCCAAATCTGACCAGAAATAACAATGTTATAGCCTGTTTCAACCTTCCCCTTTATATCCTATGGGTAAAATGTTGAAACAGGGTCGAAATGGCAAAACATTTCGAGGGAACGGAATGGCACGGCCATTTCAACTCGAAACAGAAGTCAAAACAGAATGCTGTTCCAGCAAAACACTGGTCAAAACGGGACACTGCCGTTTCGCACAGCCCTGGTCTCCATCTGTTTGTTCATAGTGGTAGCACCTAGAGCAGGGGCAGGCAAAGTCCAGCCCACAAGCCAGTTTGGGCCCACAGCCAACTCCATTTCCCAGCAGCCCCTGCCTGCATTGCTGTAGCTGGTGTCAATGGAGACCCTGGCAGCAGCAGTGCTGCAGCACCTCAGGGCCATATTTTCCATGGAGACCAGCTTCAGCCACGCTGGCAGGGCAGGGAGCTGTTCCAGGCCTGGGATCTTGTGGCTGTGGCAGTGTGGTCTGGAGCAAGGGCAGATTTGCAATCCACTGCCTGCATGCCCCAGGCAGAGGTCTGCAGGCAATGGATCACAGCTCTGCCCCAGCTCCAGACCCTGCTGTCACCACTGCAAGACCCCAGCCCTGGCCACAGAGCAGCTCCCCGCCCAGATGAATGCCCTGCAGGGACCGGTCTCCATGGAAACCCTGCCCCCCCCCCCCCCCCCCCCCCCCCCCCCGGCGGGGGGGGGGGGGGGG